CTGTGCCTCAATGTTTAAAATTAGACTTATAGTTACTTTCCGGAAATTGTTGGCAAAGTTCGGTCTTGAAAACGGATAGTGCTTCTGACTTTGTTGCTGAGAAAAGGATTAGTAAAACTGAGCTTTTTAAAAATGAGAAGATTATATTCTTAATGTGTTCAAAGCTCTTCGCCACCAAAACTCAATATTCGGAGTTGCACAGATAATTGAAATGTGTTCGAATATGACTGGAATTGGACAGCCAAAAATATATCGACTTAAGGAAAAAACAAGAGAAGTATAATATCGGAAAAAGGTAAAAGATTAATAATTACTCACCTTGCGACACAAAATATCGTGAACTGAATACTAGCATGGAAGACAGGCTTATTACCAAGCAGCCAGCACAAGGCTTCAAAATATTCAAAAAATGCTAACACATCCCTCTGAGAAATATTAGGATGTAAATAAATTACAAAGTTATAGATTGGTACCTAGTCAAAATTTACTTTGAAACCAACCAGAGCCCCTTATTATTTCTCTGGACTCCAACACAGTTCATCTGAACACTAGGAAAACAGTTTACATAGTAAGTTGTATTGCAAAATTTTTTAATTACTTTATTATTTATTTTATTACATCGCATTAAGAAATGTTGTATCTTATTATGATATTGCGGGTACCATTTACCCGGTTAAGTACAACACCAACTCTATTTTGCTTTTCGGAAATGAACTTGATCTTTTTCAAATGAGGCATTAAACCGACGACATTATATTTGTTGTTCGCAGAGTCATTTCTATAATCAACCTAAAAGTACCAAGGGCTGAACTAGGGCACCATTTAATAAAAATGGATAACATTCTTACGGAAGTTATATATACATAAAATTTCTTCATCACTTCATCATTCGAGGATAAATGATCTGACATGATGGATGATCTTTTTATTTTCGATACTTGTCTAAAAGTATGTTTTTGAAACGAGCTTGGAACTTAAAGCTGCAGATATAATATTTGTTGTTTATTTTTTAAGGTGATATACACCGTACTATCGGAAATAACCACCATACCATAAAACCATAAAAACACGATTCAACTTTTTAAAGAACGCTGAGCGATCGAACGTAATACTATACTAACCGTAAAATGGACTAAACATTAATTAGGGCTGAACTAAAGCATAATTTATTAAAAATATTTGGCACTTTTAGAAACACCAACTATTCCCAAAATTTTTCTCAGTTTTTCATCCTCAACGATAAATGTTGTGTCATGATGTGACATAATGATTGTTGTTTATTTCTTTTAGGGTGGTGTGCAATGCACTGTAGGAAATAAGGAGATTATTATTTATTATAATAACTTTAATATCGTGAAGCACTGCTCGAACTCATGATTGCGCACAGAGTAAAATTGGTTATCGCTAAATTGTTGTATCAGCCCCATATGAAGCAGCTTAAACATTTTAAAGGATTAACTTTTTCTCCATATCCTTCACGCCAGTTAAGAAAATGCTGAGTGAGCGAACTGAATAGCTGAGTCATTTCTATACTAAACGTAAAATGGACTAAATTTTAATTAGGGTTGAACTAAAGCATAATTTCCTAAAAATATTTGGTATTCTTAGAAACATCAACTATTCCCAAAATTTTTCTCAATTTTTCAACGCTCAAGGATAAATGATGCGATACAATGGATGATTTTTTTCCCGATGCTTGTCTAAAAATATGACATAACGTTTATTGCTCATTTTTTAAAGGAGATATTATTATAATAATTTTAATTGCGCTCAGAATAAAACTAGTTTTCGCTAAATTGTTATTCCCTTATGCAAAATCCAATTGATGGGTAAAAGATCCCATTTGTTGAGGAATATTCTTCTAACAAACGGCATTTACAAATTTTAAAGGATTACCTAATTTTCCGTCTGCTTCACGTCAGTTAAGAAAATAATGAGGAAGCGATCAATTTCCTAAAAATATTTGGTATTCTTCCTTGTTCAACTATTCCCAAAATTTCTTCCAGGTCTTTATGACTCGAGGATAAGTGATCCGATGGATTTTTTTTAGATACTTGTCTAAAAATATATGTTTGAAATGGACATGCAATTTAAAACTGCAGACATAGTATTTGTTGTTTATTTTTTATGGTGATGTAAAATTTACTATTGAAAATAAAGAGATGATTATTATAATTATTTCAAAATCGTAAATTATTTTTGCTTCATACAAAATAAAAAAGAGGTCTTTTTTCAACAAAGGCGATATTGTTTGTAAGGAATGTCCCTTTTAACCTCGATTTAAAATACGCCTAGTACTATGTCTGTCATTGATTATTTATTGCGAGAGAAATAACTATTTCAAAGTGGAAAAATGTTACTTTTAAGAAGAGTGATAGCCAAAATGCCACAATAATGTGAAGTTCGCTAAGAACTTGGCCCAAATCGACGATGTGTTTCGCAGGCCTCATGTTATTGTTTTTTGTATCTGTGCTTAGTATTTTACAATACAATACGAGCGAAAAATTTCCTAAAAATATTTGGTATCCTTCCTTCCTCAACTATTAATAAAATTTCTCCCAGGTCTTTATGACTCGAGGATAAATGATCTGACATGATGGCTATTTTTTTTTTGAAACTCGTCTAAAAATGTATTTTTGAACTTGCAATTTAAAAAAAATCGTAAATTATTTTTGCTTCATACAAAATAAAAAAGAGTTTTTTTTTCAATAAAAGTGACGAAAGTAACTTTTTCAAAGAGAAAAAATGTGTTTGGTCATGTTTTTTGTATCTGTGCTTAGTATTTCACAATAGAAGCTAAAAATTTCCTAAAAATTCCTCCTCCTAGTTGAAGTAGGAGGTATTCCTCCTACTTCAACTATTTCCAAAATTTCTTCCAGGTGTTTATGACTCGAGGATTAACGATTTGATATGATGGATATTTTTTTTTCGATACTTGTTTTAGATACATATTTTTCAAATGAAATTACAATTTACAACTGCACAATATATGTTGTTTATTTTTTAAGGTGATGTAAAATTTAGCATCGGAAATAAAGAGATGATTGTTATAATTATTCCAAAATCGTAAATTATTTTTGCTTTATTGAAAATAAAAAAGGGTTCTTTTTACGCAACAGAAGCGATATGGTTTGCAAGAGATGTCCTTTATAACCTCTAGTTCAAGTGCATCTTATACTATGTCTGTTATTGATTATTTTTAGAGAGAAAAGTAACTTTTTGAAAGTTAAAAAATGTTATTCTATGTCACTATTAAAAAGACTGATAGCCTAAATGCCACAATACTGTGAAATCGAAGATGTGTTTCGCAGGCCTCATGTTCTTGTTTTTTGTATCTGTGCCTACTATTTTACAATACAATACAAGCGAAAAATTTCGTAAAAATATTCTTCCTTCCTCAACTGTTCCTAAAATTTCTCCCAAGTCTTTATGGCATGATGGCTATTTTTTTTAAACTTGCCTAAAAATGTATTTTTGAACTTTCAATTTAAAACTGTTTATTTTTTCAGGTGACGTAAAATTTACAATCGGAAATAAAGAGTAATAATTATTTTAAAATAGTAAATTATTTTTGCTTCATACAAAATAAAAACGACTTTTTTTTTCAACATTAGTGACGAAAGTAACTTTTTCAAAGCGGAAAAATGTTTTTGGATGTCACTTTTAAACAGACTGATAGCCAAAATGCCACAATACTGTGAAGTTCGTTGAGAACTTGGTACAAATGGAAGATACGTTTCGCGTGTCTTATTTTCTTATTTTGTGTATCTGTGCTTCGTATTTTACAATACAATACAAGCGAAAAATTCCCTAAAAACATTTGGTATTCTTCCTTCTTCAACTATACCCAAAACTTCTCGCAGGTCTTTATGACTTTTTTCGATATTTGTCTAAAAATGTATTTTTGAAAGGAACTTGCAATTTAAAACTGCTTAATGTTTGTTGTTTATTTATTCAGGTGATGTAAAATTTACCATCAGAAATAAAGAGGTGATGATTATAATTATTTCAAAACCATTAATTAATAAAAAGAGTTTTTTTCAACAAAAGCGATATGGTTTGAAAGGAACGCCCTTTTCAACCTCTATTTCAAGTAAGTTTTGCACTATGTCTTTTACTGACCGTTTTTCGAGAGAAAAGTAACTTTTTGAAATTGGAAAAATGTTACTATTAAAAAGACTGATAGCCAAAATGCCGCAACACTGTGAAGTTCGTTAAAAACTTGGCACAAATTGAAGATGTGTTTCGCAGGTCTCATTTTATTGTTTTTTGTGCTTAATATTTTACAATAAAATACAAGATAAAAATTTCCTAAAAATATTTGGTATTCTTCCTACTTTAACTATTTACGACTGGTTATATTGCTCTTTTTTAAGGTGATGTAAAATTTACCATAGGAAATAAACAGATCATTGTTATAATTATTCTAAAATCGTAAAATTATTTTTGCTTTATTGAAAATAAAAATGAGTCCTTTCTTCAACAAAAGCGATATGGTCTGCAAGGAATGTCCTTTTTAACCTCTATTTCAAGTACGTCTTATACTATGTCTGTTACTGATTATTTTTCGAGAGAAAAGTAACTTTTTGGAAGTGGAATAATGTTATTGGATGTCACTATTAAAAAGACTGATAGCCAAAATGCCACAATACTGTGAAGTTCGCGAAGAACTTGACATACGTAATTTATCCTTCCTTCTTCAACTATTCCCAAAATTTCTCCCAGGTCTTTATGACTCGGGGACACATGATCTGACATGATGGATACTTATTTTTCGATACTTTATTTATGATTATTTTAAAATCGTAAATCATTTGTGCTTCATGCACGATGACGTTTACCAACGCGGAAAAGTTTGTTACGGAAACTTCGGAGCGCGCGTTCCAATAGCGTTCTTCGAAATATCATTTCGGACTCATCGACGAAACTTATATTCCCGTCATATATTTCCGACAACGTGGGCCGCGCATTTTATTTCATAGAAAAACTTTTTACGTTACCTCGGATATGTCGGGATCGGACCTCATTTTGTCGTAGAGGGACACCTTGTCCGCGTGAAGACCGACGAAAAGCAAACAAACGAAAACGCCGACGACAATCAAACCCGGTAGGTTTTTCATCGTAGCGGGTGACTTTCGGACACTTTTTCTCACTTTCGCTTACCCGAGGATTAACGAGTCGCGTAAATCCGTTGCGATATCGATCGTGGGGTTTCCCGCGTATGAAACTCCGCGCGGAATGGGCGACGTTTGACTGGATCGGCCGCGGTTTCCTCCCCTCTAGGATTTTCAATTACGCGCGCGGCTCTCTCGCTGTCATGCGCAGAGTGACACGCGCTCGGTCTTGCCCCGAGATTGGGCCGAGTTTCTTGACTGCTGGCGGCGCGACGCGGTGTTAATCGAGAACTTTTATTTTCCAATAGGATAAAGGGAAAACCTCCTATATCCAGTATTGCATCTCTAAAATCTAATCCCGATATCGTAATCCGAAAAGCGTATGAAGGAAATGCTACGGTGGTCATGAACACAAATGAAAATCTTACACAGACGGATCATATCGTCAACTTAAAAAAGGTCCTACGTCATCCATAGAACGCAACCTTAAATCTGTTAGCTAAGACTTCTTCTCTATCAGAATCCGTCAAAAAATTGGTCACAGTATATTTTCTTAAGCATTTGAAGTCTACATACTCTAACATACGTTTTACCATTGAACTAGAAACTAATAGTAACCTCCCATTCTAAGATATTCTTACCAATATAAAATCAGAATTAACATTCATCGCTTATCATCACTCTTGTTTACAGAACTGTAAAACTATCTCAGCCCACAAATCACCTCTGCTCTTCTCTCCAATAATTTGCACATTAAAAATATAAAGCCTTTCATTACATAATAAACTTCACCCCAATCTTTCAATACCAATGCGACCAAAAGCAATCCCACACATGCCACTGTCGTCCTTCCTTATATTCAAAACACCTGTCAAAAGTTTTAAAGAAATATCACATCAAAACCAGATTTACCACTTCTCCAAAAATCTCTCAACATCTTCGATCCGTCAAAGACAAAATTCCATTTGAGTTTACAGCATTCCATGCATATGCGGCAAAGAATACATTGCAGAGACCGGACGTAAAATATCAACTAGGCTCAAAGAATATGAAAGAGCCTTACGACTAAGACAAATAAACTCATCAGCCGTTGTCGAACAACTAAAATTCTTGCACGTAATCAATTCTTCAACCAACGAAAAATCCGAGAGTCTATAGAAATTTATAACCAACCTAAAAATCTGAACAGTGACTCAAACCTTTAGCTGTCACCAATATGGGAATCAGTCATCCGAGACGTTGTTGATGCTCTCATTTAGCTCTGCCCTTCAAACAATATATAAGCAGGTACAGAATAAAATGAGAGCCAATTTCAGTCAAGCGCTGAAGAAGCCAACAGGATGATTGGCGAAACGTTATCAAGTTCTACTCAACAACAACCGACGCAAGAGAAATCCAAAAGTGAAGGACTTCTATCATATTTTACTAAAAAGTCTAAGTGAACTTACCCATTCAGCATTAATTTCTATTATACCACCCCAAATATTTAAAGACCATCTTTTCTGACTGTGTATCATCATGACATCTTTCTCAAAAATCCTTTCTTGTGCTTATTCACAAAATATTGGCCTAATGATAATCATTTTTATTCAAGAAGTTGTATATATTATTCACAGAACTCTTAGAGATTATTAAGTCTTGGAGCATTTGTCGTACACCTCCAACACAAACAAAACCGATGCAGAAGTTTCTGTAAAAAGTAACAAAAAATGTTTAGGTATAGAAATAGCGCATACCAAATATCAAAACTCAAAATCCAATATTTAAATTGTAATAAATCATTCAAGTTGTGCCAACGTCATTAAACGTGCGGGAATAATCTCATTGATGACGTCATATCGCTGCTTTTTGATGAATATGACGACAGGTTATGTTATTTACGTTTGTTTTTTACTCGTGTAACGGTATGTTTGTATTTAATGCACGCCAGTTTGTATCAGTGCTTCGTATTTTTACAGGATAATAGTGGAAGCGACACAAAAACAATATTACAAATCGTGCAATCGTGTTCGAGTACAACCCCTAAAACGTTCAAAAGAAAATAAAAGCCGTCGTTTTTTGTTAACATTATGTTCAGGTGTCAACTTAGCCTTAACAGTGCAAATATTTTTATCTCTTCGACCTTGCACCAATCCTATTGCCGTCTCCCTAGGAGTGACTTCCTGATCTATATAAAATAAAGAAAACCTTAAGTTATCAATGGCAATATACTTTAAACTCATTATTCAGGTTATTCAGTTTATTTTTTGTTGAATAATTTACATTTTATTTGCTATAACATTTGAAATGAAAACCTTAAGCCGATTACAATATTAAATTGGTTTAAAACTAGTGACTAAAGTTTTTTAGCTTTTAGCTTTAAAATCGCTAACATCAGCAAGAGAAAAACTTTCGGTGTTTTGTATGGAAAATGTCACCATAAAGATATCCACTAAAGGTAAAGTATCAGATTGGCCTTATAAAAAATCGACTTCGGGCATTTTTAAAACCTTCTTTTTGATACCAAACACAAGATAACAAAAGCAAGCGAGAGAATCGAAACTAAAATTAAAATTAATCCAGCTGGCGCATAATCTTAGCAGCGAATCGTTAATTTTTTGTGAATAGCATAAACTTTCTTTTATAATCAATGTTTTTAAAATTAACATTTCCGTATTAGAAACAGTTATAATTAAGCATCGAAAAAAATTCAAATTGCATATTTCGCCTCTCATGTACAATAATAGAGAATTAATTGAATTTTTTATTGCATTATAATGCGCACTTTGCTTTTATGTTATATATGAATAGATTCATAGAATCACTCAGGATGAACTCACATTCACATTCACTTTTCCAGTAAAAGCACAATTATGAAATAATATTGCATACAGAATCCGATAGGTGGCAGGTGAGAGAATCTTTAATATCGTTTACTTGAAAAGTTCCTGTGTGTCTTGTCCGTCTGTCCACTGTTTGCTTAAATGCCGACAATCTACTTTCATATGTTTTCCAGTTGTTTTGTACAGCTTGGTCGAAGATTGTAGGTATAAACCATATTTTAACTTTTTTTCAACTCCCTTGTCTAAAATGGCCAACTATACACCAATCTATAGTCGGTACGATTTGTGATGGCATAGTCGGCAATAAAACGCCAGGCAGAATAAAATATTGTTCATTTTGCTTCCACTTATACTTCAACAGATATTGTTGCACCCTAAATGCCTATCTGATCAATGTAAGACAGCTGTCACTAAGGATCACGATTATATTACTTGGGGGGTAAGAGAGACAGAATCAGTTGTACCTGGGATTTATTAATTTAACTACTACGCCTATACTCATTAATTATATTATGAATGTCTAAGTAGGTGAATCTACGTGAAAAATTATGATAATTTGTTGAATAAAATATTGTCCGAAAACTCTGTCCATGCAATAAAAATTAAAACAACCACATTTATTTAGTATTTACGATGAAAATTCTTCATCATCACAGCCAAATCTTGGACTGCTACTAACAGAAAATGATCTTTTGTCTGCATTAATAACAAAATATTTTTCCAAAAATCATCGCTGGGCGGGGCAAGTTTCGTAGCGCCTAGCGCGATACAGCTTTTCATTACAAAAGAAAAGAGCTTCGCGGTTTCGTGTGGTAAAAGGACGCAATGTTTTTCTACCTTGCTCCTGCGGACCACTATAAAACTTTGTATAAAGTGTCCTTTACATATTGTCGAACTTCAAAATTACAGTAAACATCGGTAAATATTAAAATTTGCACAAATAATAGCGTTGTCGATTGATATTTTTTCAAATATCTCTCGCCCCGTATAATTGACGAAACCTGAAACTCTCTCTTGGCACAGTTTATGATACTGTTCATATAAAATTATTCCATCTCTAACGTTTTTTCATTTATCACCAATAATTTACCCAGAAAAACGGAAATTTTTAGGATCTTTTAGATTTTTTGCCCAAAAACGACACATCCTGTGCATGATTCAAACAATGTTCGAAGTAGTGGTTTTATGGTGTCTTGACAGCCCTCGAAATAGCTATTTCAATATGGATTTTTTCAAATATCGCGAGCAGCATATGTGATAGACGAAAACCGCAAATACAAAAACTGTAGCTCTTGATGCGGCCTATGAAATTGTTTGAACCCATTAGCCATATTTTTTTACGATTTTTGATTTGCGGCTAATAATTTACTCTATAAAAGAACAATTTTCGAGGTCTCTTATACTTGAAAACCCTGTATAGTATCGAAAAAATGCTTGAAATAAATGTTGGTGCACTGGATCTTCCGCGTCTGCTGGTTAAAGAATTTTGCCGATTGGGTGGACGATTATGGAGGAAAATGTTTTTCTGGAAGCTAAAATTACCAAAAAAATTCAACAATTTTTTAAAAATGCTTGGAACAATTTGATTACACCCAATTTCTACCAGACACGGACTTTTACTTCTCTGCTAAATTTGAAGTTGATATCTGCAAATTTAGGACACTTAACACATTTCTCATTTAGCACCGAATATCGGGAACATAGGTGAAAACCTTAAATACAAAAGTTTTTACTGTCTGTATGGGCTATATCGCAATATAAAAGAAACTGAGATCTGATTCAGTCTTTCAATTATAGCCAATTTTCAATAATAGGGAGACCCATTTCAGTTTTTTTGAATTTGCGGCGCACCCTGCATATTTTTGAAAAATTGGCAAGAACAAAAGTTAAACGGTTTTTGAAAAATGATGTTTTTTGTAGACCCTCGCACACGCGATTTTTATTTTTTTTTAGACTATTACGCGACCCCCCAGCCCCACCCATTTTCAATAGGGCCCGTCACGGGGCGAAGCTGTATATACGTGCCAAATATGAATGGATTGCTTCAAATTTCAGACACTTACCGTGTTTCATAGCAATGTCCAAAAAACAGTCGAAAATCAGGAAAAAAAGATGGATACCCGCGTCGGATCAAGGCCATTTCTTATAAGCTTATGTGCCTCGTGGAGGGTTAAAAAGGAGACAAATTTCAATTTTGTAGCTCCAACGGTTCGAAAGTTATTCAGGAAAAACCAAAAGACGAGAACGGAGATAACAAATGGTGGCACAGTTATATCAAGTGGATTCTCTTTTTCCTCGTAGTTTTATATTAT